AAAGCGCTGCTGGCTTTGAGAGCAGTTATAATTGCTGCTGCAGTCCAGCCAAGGATGAGAAAAAAGTGAATAGCTCAAGCCACCCTCTGCTAGAATGGCACGTTTTCCCACTTTAAAGGAGATTATCCAAATTACTATTTGTCATTGTCGCCACTTAAAAGCTTTGTGCCAAATAGATACATTCTATTGCAATACTGGTTGGATTGAACAGCAGGGTTTGTATCTTCTGCCAATAGATGTAGAATTGTGGATGTGAGTACTAAAAAAATACATGCTTTTTTTTTTCTTTTGACAGCTTCTGTTCTGCTCAGGTTGATAATTGGATATTCACCTTCTCTGTGACAATCTCTCACCCAAGTACTGACAGACGCTGGTGTTTAGGGAAGTGATAAACAGAAACTTTATTAGTACTGGAGCCCATATCAGCCTTGCACGAGTCCTMTTTATTTTACAAGATTGAAAAAGGGAGTATTGTCTGTGATCAAAGGACTGGTTCCCATAAGATTCCCATCCCACCAAGTAGTGCTTGTTCCACGTGTAAACCACTATGGACTCCAGGCAGTGCTAGAACTGCCTTTCATTTTGCCACACATTTACTATTAGCATCTCAGGACAGAGTAAAAAAGCRCCTCAGGACAGTGCTGAAGGTTTCAGCAGGGTGAGAATGACTTTTCTGCCCTGAGTGCTTTTGCCCACATTGAATTCTCAGGTTCCAAGAGAGCTGATCTTCTAATTTCTCTTTCAGTTCACAGGGAGAGATATGGAAATACTAGAGTGCTATTACATGCAAACTAATTTCTCTGCTTTTTGAACACAGAATATCTGGCCTTGAAGGGAAGATGGGATTTTTCTCTAGGTGTCATACTTGCAACCAAACAAGTACGAGTGTTTCCCTTTCACAAGCCAAGAGTGGCAAGGGTCAAAGTCACAAGTATTGCATCAAGACAACTTCAGTGTCCTTCACTTCCTGATAAATAAACATTCTCCAAGAATGTGGGTGACCTTTTGGTCACTGCCCATGTGGAAGTTGTTTGAGAAGTTTCCCTAAAAACACAAGATACATTTTTGCAGTGTTCTGTGCAAAGTTATACTGTAAGTGCTAAAAAGCTGGGCATGATTAGAGAAATTTAATACCAGAAGCAGCAGTATAATGGGATATTTGGGACATTCTGTGGACAGTTTCTCTATACAGCTGCAGTACCTTTTCATTGTTCGTTTCTTTTTGAAGAGCTTCAGTTTCCGTCTCTGTTTATTCAGCACAGCACAACATGCAGAGAAGCTGTAAGTCCTAAGAAGAGAGGAGAGGCTCTTTGGAAACTGAGGTGTTAGCTGTCAAAGAATGCTGCCACGCAATGACGACCCTTCACATTGTTTACAGTAATGAGAGTGCTTCAGGTGCACGTGAAGCCAGGATGTAGTTTCAGTTTGATTTTTTGATCTGAAAGTCTGCAACTGACTCCCATTCCACTACATTTTAAAAAATGATATTTTCATTAATATGATGGGCATTTAGTTGCTGTTAGATTATAGCCAGCTACAAAAATTAAAAAGGACAGGTTGTTCACTCTTTATGCTTAAAAATAAGCACTTAATCTAAAATGCATGTGGTGTCCTTTCCTGGCTCAGTTTCCTATTGCCTGGATTTGGTTCTCAAGAGACATCAGATGAAATAGGTATTATGCACAGAGACTTGGGAAGAATTTTTACCTTAGTCCTACAAACTGATCACTGTGAGTAACACCATATGATGGCATAAGGTTCATATGCATATTGTGCACATACACAATGCTCTGTTAGGGCAATGTAAGTATAACCACAGAAAAACTGATACAGGATTTCCTGTTAAAACACCAAAATAAATAAGAGAGTATCAGTAATACCAATTAACATTGCTTTTATGAAAACAAAACAACAACAAAACAAAACCTACCAAACAAAAAAAATCAGACTCCTTTCTGATTGCTTTCTTTGATTAGAATCTAGAATTCAGCTGCAGATGCATGTTTAGATTGTTAATGGTATTCATCTTTATAAGGGGTTTTAGACAAATGAGAAATTATAGCCAGTAAAGTCTGTGGATGAATAAAGATCGTGAAGAGTTAAAAGCAAGACCATAATCATGTGTAACCTTGGCTGATCTAAGCAAAGTTTACCTTTATTCAAATACAATTGTACATGTGTAATGAAGAGATGTAAACCATACCTGCAAAATTAGGTAATATAATGCTTTGGGAGAAAAAATCTAGCTATAAGCAGCTCTACAATTGGGTAAAGACTATGATGAGATGGAAGAGTATAATGCATAAGGGTTATCAGATTGTAACTCTAAATTCTTGGAGTTTTACCCTTAAAGAATTTTCATATACATACAAAGTTTTTGAATAGAAGCTTTTTGCTTATGGACATTTGTTTAATAGTCAGGAGTCTGCACTTCCAAAACAGGAGGAGGGATGACAATTGGAGAAAATACTGAAATCCCCTGGATGCAATCAGTAGAGATAAGGCCAGGTGAAGAATGACTTGCATTTTTCATCACTACATGTGGCAGATAAGTATGTGATGTGTAGAATTCCAGTTGCCAGATTTTTTTCCAATACTGGAAAGTTTGGAGAGATAACAGAAATAGCTGGAAATTAATTGCTACATGAAAACAAAAAGGCACCCTAAACTGAGATTATAAAAGTCAAGGCTTTAATGTCACTGAACAGAAATCTGAGTTATGTATTAATTTCTGTGGTGTCAATACTTTATGAGCATAAAACAGTGTTGGTAAAAAGGCTTTTTGATCTTGTGTGCAAAGGTAAAAATCAAAGTAATAGAACCTGAAGCCTGAGGAACTTAGAAAACATTAAGATGATATTTTAATAGTGGACAAAGTAAAACTAACAAGTACCCCTACAAAAACTCTGTTGTACTCTTGTCAACATCGCTCAAACAACTGAAAGACGCATTTTAGCTGCCATGTTACTTCAGTCTTTCTCTAGCTGTTGATCTCAATATACCAGCAAATATTTCAAATGTGATGTCTTGTAACACACAGGACAGCAATCAAATTATGTCAGCACTGAATTGGAAGTGATATAAAGAAGTTTTTTGTCACTATGTTGATATCCATCCCTATGTATAGGGTAAGAACAACTGTAATAGAATTCATTCATGCCATAAATTTATACTTCCTCTTCAACATGGACCTCAAGACATGGAAATTCCATTTTCACTATTAGAAAGTGCCTCTCAACAAATATAAAGTATCCCTTTCTTCACTACAGAGATTTATGTATTCATTTTGTTCCCACCCAATCCTACCATGTTTCCCCAAACAACCACCATTCAATATATTAATGAATTCTAGTTTTCTAGGCCTCATTCTCACTATTCTCCTTTGGGTGCTCTCCAGCTGACACACATTAACCATTCTGTAATCTCCTCAGTATTAAGAGGAAGAATTATTTCATTGACTTCACAGTTATATTTTTAAATAAAATTATAAAAAGGTAAATGAAAAAAATATATATATTTGTGATACAAATTTAATCTTGGAATGCCTTCAGATTGTAAGGATCTTCTTTTGCAAGAAAAAAAGAACACAAAAGAATTCACCTGTGTAATCATCACTCTTTGGACTTTGCTGTTAAAGCAATGGAGGAACTTGGCAGGTTTCAAATGCACTGTTGTATGTTGACAAGTTGGTCCAAGCATCCATGAAGAAAATTGGTCCATGTGTTTTGGAGTTATTTGGTAGTAAGCAGAGAAACTTAAGGTTTGATAATTTCACTTTTATTTGCATATGAGATGTGAAAAGATCCATCTAAAAGTTCTAAATTCCCCTTTTTCTGTCTATCCCAAGGACAGAATTACAGACACCCAAGCAGCTGAAAAAGCTCTTCCAATAGCTCTTGCAATTTTCAGTCTTGATGTTAAGCTTTGGCAAATATTTGTCATCGTTCTGTGCTTAAACCATTTTTTTTTATCAGTATGGTGAACATTTCCTTTTCTTGACAAGATTTTAATCTCTCACAGGTGTGAGCTTAAAAAAAATCTTAAAAGCCCAAGACAAGGGTTTCTTTTCAGCTCTAATTGATTTTAATACAACTCTTCATTTGCTTTTTTCCTTCTGTTCTACTCATCCTTGGATTTTCTTGGTTTTTTCTCCATGCATCTGGGGACGGTTCTTTTTGAGTAGCCTTTAATCCACTGATGTGACTTAAAACAAAATGATACTTCAAAAACATCATGGCATCCAAACAGTGACATAATTTGCTTGTTTAGAACAACTTATTTCATAACGAACCCTGAGAGTGGTGGTTGCTGTGGTTTGGTTGTGGCTTGTGCAGGGAGCGGGAATTCAGTGTAGCACACGAGCTCATTCAGGCAATTGTGGCCTCTGTGCCTGGTGCACAGCACCATCGTTTTTTTAAGGTTACACCTGTCCAGGGAGGGTGTTGCTTCTGTGAAGCTTCTCAAACTGCCACTTTTCTAGTCTGAGCTTGCTAGAAAATTAAGTTACATTAGGAAATTAAACTTACATTAAAATGTAATATTTGAAGATGTTCAGAGACCTGTACCTCTGTTAATAAATGCCAAAATATGTTTTTGTCTCTCACTCCTTCCCTTAAAACTCTGAGCAAGAAAAACTCAGCAAGACTTCATCAATGATCAAATGGTATTTTCAAGCAAATTGCAGAATTAAATTATAATTTGTTTTTAAAATACAGATGTTAATATATGAGATGAACTATGATAGTTTTGTATCTTGTTCATGTCTTGGCAAAGACATTCTCAAGGCCTTTGTACAGGCAGTACATTCTTCAATGCAGAGTCTCTTCCCCTCTACTCTGGTAAGATAATGCAACAAAAATATCTTAAGAGTAGGTTCAACAAAATATACTTTCTCTGGCGAGTGTGCAGTACTGATGTTTTATCCAAAACTTCATCTGACACAGCAAGGCACCTTCCTTAGTGTTTGCTAGATAAATTCAGTCTGTTCTGCTTTATTCCAGATACTCAGAATGAAGATTTGAAACAAAAAGGACCTTCCTCAGCAGCACCTGCCCCCTCGGTATCTCCATCACACTATCCTGTGCAGTTGCCACCTCGTCCGCCAGCCTCTCACCCATCCCTGCAGGTGCCAGCAGCTCCCAGTCTGCCTCCCAGAAACATCAAGCCCAGCTCTGAAACAATGTAAGTGCACATAAACCTCAAGGTTTTTATTTTCTCACTTTTTCTGGCTATCACTTTCCTTGTGCACCAGCAGGTAACGGCTGCAGGAGTTCCAGGTTTCTGAGAGAGTTGGGTCTCACACTGCTTTCCTTATCCTGCCCTGTGCCTAGCCTGTTTGGAATTAGCCTTTATTATGTATTTGAACACTCCACCTATTCCGTTGTTTCCCTGAACTGTCCTTTCTGTAACAATTCTTATTTTGCCTTGTTGGGGAAGTAATGGACAAGGGAATAGACTGGGTTTTGTTTTGTTTTGTTTTGTTTTTACTTTAGAGTGATTCAAAGGTTTTAAACATGGATAGAAAATCAGTTGCATTAATAGCTGAAGGTTCCCCCTGCATTTTTCTCAGCAAAGAGAGCCAGGAGGGTGAGGTCTATGAGTTAATACCCCAGGAAGCAGCTTTGCAAGGTGGAGAAAGTGAGCTCAACACTGGTTGTGAAACTGCACTGAAGCCATGTAATGTTGATAAAGAGCTCCTTTCTCTATCCTTCTTTGAAAAACTGCATACAAAAGCAGAACTTGTGCTGACAGAATTGTAAGTACTTGAGTCCAACATCAAAACTGACCAGAATCAAGCAGAACCTGAATAATGAGATGCTCTCTGGACAGCAGGTGTTGCAAGGAGCATCAAATAGCAGTCAGGGAGATTCGGGGAGGTGTGTCCAGCTCAGCAGTGTCACAGCATCAATTCTGCTTCACAGCCACAGTACCTCCAGCAGCCATCCTGGGTGTCCTCCTCTTTACCAAGGCTTGGGAGACGAGTGTGTYCTCCTCTTTGACTTTAGAGACCTGAGAAATTTACCTCCAGAGGGCCCTTCTGCTCTCCCATTCCTGTATGCCTTGCGAAGACAGCCCTCTGCTGAAAATGTGTGCCTGGGTGCTGAGACCTTTGCTTTCACCTGTCTCCATTCTTTCCCTGTCAGGCCAATTTTAGAACACCCTATTTTGCTTTCAAGTCCTTCCTTTGATTACTCTTCTTTGATGATGACTGTCAGGCCTTTATTTCTTTTAGCTGTTACAAGGCATTATAAAATTTAAAGTCCCTGATATTATTAGTTACAACCTCAATTCAATTTCTTTTTTCTCTCATTTGGACAGCACTTTTAAATTTAAGAGAGCTGGAGACATTTTACCTGTCCTAACCTCACACCATGCTTTCTCTTGTCCCTTGTCACTTTAAATCCAACAAGACAAAGTCTCAGAGGTATATTTTATATGGAGCACAAGTCTGGCATTGTACTTTTGCATTGTGTGAGAATCTTGCACGTGTAAAATGGTTAAAAGCCAAATAGATTCTTCCCATTCAGTTAGCCCATCTGCCCATTTTATTTTTCATACCACACTCATATTCACGGTATCTGAAAACTTTGATGTTTTTTGCTCAGGATCAAGGTGCCCCCATCTGAAGCACTGAGTCACAATCAGGAAGAACAATTTAGGAAGTCTTGTGAGTACTTAAGTAGGATAGAGAGCTCAGTAGACTTAGTATAAAATTTAGCCTTTGTATAAAACAGATAATAAAAAGCATCAGAAAAATGGTGAATGATAATGTAATCATAAATCCATCTTCATAGGTTTCATATATCCCCTTTTTCATACTTACAGAGGCCCAGACAATGAAGAAAATTATGATGATGTTGAATTTGTCTCACAGGGTAAGATGCATACATTTTATACATTTCAATTAATGGCTACTATAAGACGCTGTAAGCATGCTGTATTTATAAGATAAACAAAAGTAAATTTGTATTCAAGTGATTTGTGTAACTAATTGTACAGGTTCTGCTCTTTCATAACACTAACAGATCTAATGTTCTGTGATTAATATGACAGTCTCTCAGGAACTGCTTTAAATTTCTTTCCTCTCCCTCCCTGCCCTCATTTTCTCCTCTCCTCTCCTCTCCTCTCCTCTCCTCTCCTCTCCTCTCCTCTCCTC